GGCTGCAGAAAGACCTCACTCAGTGATGGAAAACATTCTTGTGAGTGAGTCAGCGTCATAAACATGTAAAATCATTACAGATAGAGTCTGAGCTGAGCGTCCGGCGGCTCCAAAGCAAACAGCGCAGAAATGGAGAGAAACCGCTGATTCTGATGGCTAATTAAATCCTAATATACAGCCGGCTGCATGTTTATGATCCGAGCAGCAGCAACTTTTTCCATTATTTGTGAGCAGCTCCTTAAAGAGCACTTGTGACAGGAAGCAGGTTATGGCTGCAGAAATGATTCCACACAAAGAGCTCAGTATACCAGCAGCCTTTTTATTGTTGGGATTAAAACGCTGTTTGCTTTACGTTCTCGGCCTTGGAGCTGAGGAACCTCCAGGTTAGGGCTTCCCAGCGGAGCTCATTGTGGTGCCGAGCCGCCAACACGCTCCTTAAATATAACTGGCTGCACTTTGTGTTTGAAACGCTGCGGACGTCCTGCTAATGGCCTCACACAGAAATAAGGCAGCATGTCAGCGAGCGGAGCAGCTGCTGAGGGAAGAATAAAGATTTCAGCAGTTTGTGAACAGTGTTCGCTGCTGCAGCTCTCTGAGATTAGCATAGAAACACCACACACCAGCTCTGAACACACATTAGCTTGTATGCTAGCCCTGTGTGTTGCTCTATGCTAACTCAGGACATTAACTACTACATCAGCTGTGTTTATTATTCTGCACGTTAGCTTGTACATTAGCCATTTGTGTGACTCTTGTTAACTCGCTACATTAACGTTGTATGTTCGTTCTGAATCATTCATTACTCTACACATTAGCATGTATGTTAGCCTGATGTGTTAGTCTTGTTAATTCTGTACGTTAGCTTTATCCATTAACCAGTGTGTTAGCCCTACTATGTGCTAGCGCTGAACCATTTATTATGCTACACATTAGCTTGTTAGTTCTGTGTATTACTATGTTAGCTTTGTACATTAGCTCTGTCTGCTAGCTCTATACGTTCACTTAGTACTTAAACACTCTATGCAATACAAAACAATAACACTGTGCATTAGCTTTGTTCACAAGTTCTCTATCAGACTCTGTTAGCTTCACATGCTAACTCTGTATGTTGGCTTTATTCGCTAACTTTGTACTTAAACTCATTGTTAGTTCTGTGGGTTAGCTTTACAAATTAGCTCTGTTTGCTTAAATACTACGTTAGTTTTGTACATTAGTTCTGTATGTTAGCTATATGTGTTAGCTCTGTACAAACTGTTAGCTGTGCATTAGCTAGCTCTGTATATTACTGTGAACAAAGGCTCTGTATGTTAACATTAATAAATAACTTTCTGTTAGTTTTATACTGCAGCTCTTCACATTAGCTTTAGCCTCGTAGCTCGGTACGTTAGATGTGAATGTTAGCTACATTAGCATGTACATGTGCTCTGAACATTAGCTCTGAGTCATTCATTGACTCCGTTTCACTGAAATTAATCTAACGTGAACAAAACATTCAAACTGGCAGAAACCAGCAGCGACAGTTGAGCCGCTATTTGGTCCCCAGAGGTCAGAGTTTGGTTCTGAGTCCTCCTCCACCTGAGGCCCACACCAGCAGCCTGTATGTCCTGTGGATTCTGTGGTCTGAGGCTTTGCCACTTGGTGCCCGCTGAGATTTCTTGGCCGACCGGAGATCCACAAAGCCGGGGCCGCCCCGAGCTGCCGACCAGGCCACAGAACAGTAAACCTGGCAGAGGCCGAGACCAGCCTGTGGTCAGCCGAAGCCTCAGACTGGAGGCAGCAGCAGCTACAAGTGGTCCGTCTGCAGGTCGGTTCTGTCCCGTCGTCTACGGACCGTCAGAGCTTCTGAGGCCAAACGCTCCAGAGTGTGTTCATCAGATGTTTGTTGTGAAGGAAGTAAAGTGGCCCAACGAACGACGCTCAACTGAAGTGACTTTTAAAGGATCCGTTCAGGCTTTCTTTAGTGCTCAAAGAACGGTTCTGGTGTCTGTACGGTTCCTCTCTTGTAGCTCAGAATCCAGAGTTCTGGATCCATTTCTTCAGTGGCAGCAACATGAAGCTCTTTTCAGGATCGAATGTTATAAAACTACACGGAGCTGGTTCATGGAGGACGAGGGAACCCTTTGATCTGTTGGGTTCCTCACTTTACTTCTACATTGGGTTCCACCAGAACTCCTGCAGTGGAGCAGTTGGATCAGATCAGATTCAGCTTTATCTGAAGACAACGAAGCGAGCTACCAACAGTCCAGAGTCTCCATCGTGCTTCAACACAACCAGCTGCAGGAGAACCGGTTCTGCAGGTCGCTCTGATATGAAATCCACTGTGAGAAGGTCGGGGTGACAGCTGTTGGTTCTGCTCTGGTTCTGGCCCTGGAAACACCTCCTGCATCGAGTTCCTGCAGCAGAAAGATGCTGGACCCGTTGGTTCCTGATGGTCCAAACTGAACCTCCAGCTTCATGAACAGACGTCTGAGTTAGTGGCTGGTTCTGTTTCTGGTTCTGTCAGTTCTGTTCTGTAGCTGTGAGTCTTAAACTCGAGGGTCAAACTAACGAGCACACAGTCATCAGAAGCTCATCGTGTTTCAGACAGAACCTGCTCTGTTCGGTTCTGTGTGGATTCTGGATCTTAAACACTCTCCAACAGTCAGCTCAGGACCTTCAGAACCGCTTCCCTGCAGAGAGAAGACAGAACCGAGCTGCGAACACAGAAGCAGCTTTCTTCAGCTATCGGCTGCTGACTCAGGTTCAGTCTGACTGTAGAGCAGATCGGACCAGAACTGAACCAGACCTCGGCTACGTTCTGTTGCTCAGGAATGTGCTAAAAGCTTTAGTGGTTCTCAGAACCTCCCACAAATGTCAGAAGGTTCTGAAGCCAGGACGACATGCAATCACAGAGACCAGCAGTCTGAAGCTCTATTGAGATCTGTCTGCTGAAATACTGACACCTGGTGACCAGAACCTCAAACTGTGTTAAAGAACCGAACCACGAAACCTGCCGACGGGTCTGAGACACATTTTAAATGTGAAAGATCACGTTTTGTTCCTTGAACCCATCATGTGACGTCCTGTGGCCTGAATCTGAGCTTCAGTCCGGATGTGTCCTCAGAACCACCTTATCCGACGTCTCTTTTAACGGTTTGCCAAATACAAACCGTGTGTCCGACCCGACCCGGTAAACTGCTAAAGCTTCTGAGCTCCTCTGGGCGATCGACGGTCTCGGCTGTGACCAACAGTCACATCTCCAGAACTTTGTTTGGTTAGTTTTTTGTTTGTCCGTTTCCAGGTGAACTGCAGGCGGTGCCTCCACAGAGAGGAGACGAGGACGGAACCACAGAACCCTGGTCCGGTACCAGCAGCAGCAGGAGCCTCCAGGTCCAGATTTCTAACATCTGAGGACACACGATGGTTCCAGGATTTTACATTTCTGTAAAATCAGAGATGAAGCGAACAGGGACGCTTTGTTTGGTGGAAGGTTCTGCTGTGTCCTGTTCGATGGACGTGGACTCCAGACTGGTTCTCAGCGGCTAACTGGGAGGACTGGGAGCCTAGCGGAGCCGCTGCAGGTACCAGGAAGCACCAGTGTTCTGTTCACTGGCCAAGAAGAATGAGCTCATCTTCATCGTTCTGTCATCAGAAGTTCCATCGACTGGCTTACGTAAAGTCTGCTGCTCCGGGTTTGGACTCGGTGCCGCCGGGCAGTTTGATGATAACTGGACTCGACCTCCGTCTGCTGAAGCTAACTGGACTCACAGAGGAGCCTTTATTCCTGTGAGCTGCTCTGGTTCACTTCAGAGCATCAGAACCTGCCAGACATCAGAGTTCTGGACCAGAACACGACACCAGAGGACAGATGCTCAGAGGAAAACAAGCTTCAGCCCATTTAAAGGTGTTGTCAACAACAGCAGGCAGCTGAACAGAACAAGACAGAACTCTGGTTCCAGCCCAGTCCAGACCGGATGCTGGAGGTCAGAGCTCCTGTCCTGAAGACGAAAACCTGAAACGTGTCAACAACCAGAACCCTGAACAGAACAAAACAGAACAGAACCAGCTGACAACAAAGTAGAACAGAAATACAGAACGGATCGGTGCATGAACTGTGAGATGAAGAGTTTGGACCGATGGTGACCTCAGCAGAACCTGTGAACGAGTTTCAGGCTGGAGTTTGGAGCTTCAGAGTCAGACGGGTTTGATTTGATATCAGTGTTTAATTAATTTAATTTTTTAAATCTGAAGACGTTGAGACGTGTTGGTGTCTAAATGTGATGTTTAAGGTCTGAAGTTCTGCTGTCACATCATCTCTGCTGGACAGAACCTGAGAACTCGTTTTTCTGTTCTGTTTTTAAATCTCATCGACACGTTTTTTTCTCTGTTTATTCTTGGATTTAGTCTTTTCCTCACATTCTGGATGGATTCATGTTGTTAACGTAACACTGTCATTTCAGGCTGCAGGTGGTTCAGTGG